GATGACGTTAACAATATATTGAAAATATTATCGAGATCCCAAGATGGTTAATTAAGTATTTATCTATAAATATATTATCTGCATCAATTTTTGATTAATTTTTCACAAAACATAAAAAAATGACGACGTCACATGAATCACCCTGTACACAATCACCAATTCACTCAAAAGAAAGATACGCGTAAATCCTGATCGCGAGAAGGTCGGAAAAAGGATGTCAAGCGGTGAAAAGGTAGATATACGAAGGTAAGAAAAAGAACAGGCCAATACGAGTGATTGGATTCGCTCGTACGCTATCTGGAAGACTGGCCAGACAGCCTTTTACTCCTGTTTTGGTTCAAGTCGAGGAGATGGAGGAGAGACCCGGTGACCTAGAACTTGGGAAAGCGACTCGAAGAACGCGAATGTTCCTCTCAAGACGATCTTGCGCTCTAATTGCTTGTGATGGTTGGCAAAATTACACAAACTTTCATCTCCACCGAATACTTAGATATTTCAAGATTACAATATCACAATTACACTATAGAAAATATGGTTTTCCATCGATTTTCCGACGAATTTTCTTTGCGAATTTTCTTCTGAGGAAATTTTCCAATGGAAGTTTGAATCAATCGATAGAGATGGAAGAAAATTGATTTGTTTTGATTGATATGAACTGTTGCGATTGTTTGGATAGGAAGATACACTTTAAGGCGAGTTTTGAATTATTACTGAACTATTACTATATTGTACTTGTTAATGCTATGTTCGTATTGAATGTAACCGAATTTTGTAATCGTTATTATTATTGTTAGTAAGTATTGATAAAATGAGTTTTGAATCACTAATAAATGTATTGTGTGGTTAATTAATAAATAAATAGTTAATTATTTTAACATTATTATTGTTATTATTAATCAATCTATGATCGTTAATAGACGATATATAGTTTAAGGTGAATTTCGAATCATTAATACACTATTTTTTAAAATGATTAATTGATCTGTATTGTATATAGCTTTTATCAATCTAATTTAATTTAATTTATTTTAATTTAATAATTTAATTTAATTTTCATTTAATCATGGGTCTATAATTTTAAATGGATTACAAATTATTACCAACAATATTCCAAAATAATTAATTATTTTACAATTAGTACTAATCTATGCCCAATGTAGCTCATAAATTTTGATTATTATTAATCAATATCATCTGGTACGATCATATAATAGAGCATGTATTTTAAGCTGAATTTCCATTACTGAATCTCATCTAAATATTAACTAACCACAATATATATTAATCGATATAACTTAACCTTAATAATTTTGAATATCAATAGATCAAAAAAAAAATTATTTTACCAAAAAAATTATTGACATCCAAAAAGAATGTAACATCTTTAACTTATAATTTTTTACTTTGAAACTCTATGTAGACAACTATTGTGGTTCAATAACCGTGGACCAACAGTTTAAGGTTAGCTTACTTAAATGATTGCTCGATCTTCGTATTCTCCCGATATCGAGAAAACTGTTTGATTTATGTAACGTGCGCGAGAAGGAAACATCATGATAAAAAAGAAATTGGAAAAAGTCGTTCGACAACTTTCGAACATTACAAAGATGGAATATGTAGGTCGCGATCGAGAGGTCTACGGAGATTCTCTCGAGAGGCTTGGACGTATTCCGATGCATGGCTCGAGACACGCGATCGATTGCTGGTAATGTGTGTCAGGAATGCGGAGGAGAATCATGCTTCGGTTTGATGGCGAAATTTTATATAGTTACGATGCGTAATATCATATTCCGTTTCATTGCTTGCCGAATGGAATTATTTTATTCTTTGAATGCACGGTTCAATCCATTTCGCTTGGAATTTATTTTATCTAAATTTTAAAAATAAAGAATGCGCGAATATAAAGTAGAAACAGAATAATTTAAAAAATTTTTAAACTATAAGTTTCGTTACATGTTCTTCGTTTACTATTTATACTTATATTTTATTTAATTCTATCTAATTTCTTATTAAAATTTCGATCGAATATTAGTGAATAATTATCACAGTATTATTTTATATATAAGAAGAAATATAAAATATAAGATAGAAATATAAAATAATTCTCTTTCGATATATAAACTTCTTGGAAACCAAACATTTCAAAAAGAAAATAATTAATTTTGATGAAATTAATCAATTCAATTTCTCTCGCTTCAAATAAAATTCTTCAATTTAATCCAAAATGTACGAATAATATTTAAACTTTCAAAAAGCAAATAATTAACCTCGATGAAGTTTAATAATCATTTCAATCTATCATTATTAAAGGTATCATCAATATTTATATTCTTCGTTATATTCTTCATTACAAAAATATCAAAACGTTTACTATATTTAGATCCGCAATTAGAATCATTTAGTTGCAATTCTGTAATCAAGGACCCGTTTCTTATATAAATTGGAATGACGACACGAGCAAAAGAATCCACAATATTAGGCAATAAATTCTTTCTTCAAGGTTCATTAGCTGCGCAGACTTTAATCACTGTTATTTACATGTGACAAGAGTCGTAAGGACACGATTAATAGGTTCTACCTAGTTGTTTTGTTTCCGCGTTTCGCATTCCATCCATCGTCCACGATGCATGACGTCAGCTTCTAGGCTAATTGTATCGAACACCATTGTTGTCTCTAACGAAATCCCATGGCATTAATCTGTCTTCCATTTCCGCGGCAAGAAATATGTTGGGAAGAGGAAGAACATACTGAAAATGGATAAAATCGATTTTGTTCAAAAAAGAAGATAGAACGGATATATACTATTCTTCTTGGTACTATATTTAAAATGTAAATACATACAATAAGAATTGAAAGTTTTTCGTAATTATCTTATAAAAAAATTGATGTAATTTAAAAGTATTGATTTTAAGTGAAAGTTTATGTACATGTGGAATATAATAAGATAATTTTTTTATTGGAGATTCTATTAATAGAGTATTCAATTCTAAAGATTTTATAATTTAAAATGCGGAATTAAAAACTTGAAAATAATTTTACTTCGTTAAAATATTTCAATAAAAAAAATTACTTATATATCAAAATTCATTAATCAATAAAAAATTTATTAAAAAAAATTAAAAAATAGAAATTAAAAGAGATTGTTGCGAAAAATACATTACAATAGAGATTAGAAAATTCCAATTAAATTCTAAAATACAAACTTAACAATTAGTTAACAATCATAAGTTTAAAATTAGCAACTATCCATTGACCCACAAATAGCAATTTTTCACAATTTTTTTTCTATAATTTCATCTTTAAAAATTCTCGTCTTTCATTCTTGGCAAAAATCAATTGGTTCGATACAAAAGTCTCTTAATTAAGAAATTCATCGTCTGTACTCATTGAATCGATCTTTCCATGTAAAAGATTAATGAACCAGACTGACCAATAAACCAATGTTCCAAGCATATCAGCAGTGCATTTCTTACGAATTCAAGCGAATTATTTTGTGTCTCTATCTGGTTAGTAAACGTGCCACGTACAGCCACGTGATAGCCGCTGCGACATGGTAAAACTTCTTTGGGATGGTTGTTCAAACATTTACAAGATTCCATGATAATAGTGTGGCCATAAAAGGATATGAAAGGTCTCACCCGACCAAAGTCCTGGGAAAAACTATAAACCAATGTTTACGAGCATCTGCTGGAACTGTGAAAAAGGATGAATTCCGAAAGTTTCATGGAACTGTTCGAATAACACCTCGAAAATGATTATAATTCCATAGAGACTTACTTTTATTGTAGTTCTTGTTTTATTATTTGATGAAGTTATATTTTATGTGATCCTTGGTGATTGGAATATATATCGTGTAATTGTTATTTTATATTGTTATATAAAATATCACAATATACTTCGATAACGAGATTCGATAATTTATAACTCGAGAAGAGATATAATATAAGATTCGAGTTAAAAAGATTTCTCGAAATTATCTAATTAGAGAGATTTGATTAATAAAAATTCGAATTACATCTTATGAATCATAGATTCTCCAATTATGGATTCCAAGAATAAAATAAATATATAAATACGTACGTATAACCTCAAAATTATAAGTATTTTTAATTCCAATTTTTCCGCTGCATAATTTTTTTTAAAGAAGAACCAACTAAAATAAAACAAAATAAAGAACAAAAATATAGTACAAAATATAATTATTAAATTATAAAGTAAAATGATCACTTGTCATTTATCTTCTGAATCAAATTCTCAAACTATGGATCATTCCAACATATAATAAAATAAATATATAATACATATATACATATTTTATCGTATGTATATATTTTAAATCTAGAAGACCAAAAACAGAATTCTTACCACTACTGCGAATCGATTTCTTTTTTCATCCAAGATCGCTTCTTCGTAAAAGGGTTAACGCTCGCGCAATGCGCAAGACGATTGGAAGCAGATTGGTCGGTAGTTTCGTCAAAACGGAGCATGCGTTAAATTTAATATGATTCTTCTCATATATACGTGGCAACGACAAAGGTCTGGAAAAACGCGGACTCGTGATAGCCCGAAGGGCAGATCGTGGCCAGCAAGATGCACGTTTTCTCGCCGCAAAACACAGGAAGAAGAACTCGAACTGGAAACGAGGAATGGTCAGTACTCGATTCGCTTTCCATTCCTGCCCATTTGAACATATCGCGAAACGAGGCCGATCGGCCATTAATTTCTATACCTCTCGCCTCGACTAACCGCTCAGAGCCTCGTATCGTTTTCATCTTCGCGCTCCCGTCTAGGGACGAATGCAATCCCTTCTTTTTCGATTTATCGCGTTCTGCAACCGTTTCTGCAATCCTTCGATGGGATTGCTCAAAGAGGGAAATGTGTATACAATATTTATGATATATAAGAATTCTAGAATATAACACTATAATAATACACAAAATAAAATCAAGAAAATTTATCCTTGTAAATTCGCTTTTTGTTTTTATTAATGATAAAAATTTAAGGCAAACAATTTCAACAAACAAAATCACGGTGCAACGAGTTAGAAAATTATAAATTTCTTATAAGAACACTTTTTTACGAAAAATGAAATCATTATTAATGCAATTCCCAACGATACTTTCTATAATTGGTCGATAAACATTTCATTTGTTCTATACTCACGTGTGCAATACTAATCACAGATCAATTTCTTCGATCGTTCAAGAAAATGAGCCACTTCCTCAATTACGAATGATATTCTGATTTCCATAATAACTATCGCATCTGCACTAACTTTGTATCCGTTGAATGTATCGAGACAGATACGATCTGATCCGTGTTAATACCGATTATCAGATCTTTCTCCAGGCGAAGAATGGAAACTTTATCCTCGATGCAATCTGTTTCTGATTCGATACGCTTTTCCTAGATCGAGAATGAGGATGCCCTGAAGACAGATGTTCGACGATGAACGAACAAATGAAAAAAATTTTCCCTTGAAATTTGATCTTTGGACTCGCGATCGGAAATTTGAAATTACATACTCGCATTTAAAATATCCTTTTGCTTATTTTTTATCATTAGATTAATAGGATTTTTATGCAAATACGTATTAAATATGTTTTGCATGTTTTTCACAAGATGAATGAATATACCGAGCAATTCATAAATTATGATCAAAGAAAGATATGAAAATATAGAATAAAATCTTTTTTGAATTCAAATCAAGTTTAATAATTTTTCAAATACAAGTGAAAATTATTAATCTCTAACAGTATGACAATTGTATTACTTCATACTTAGTTATCTTTTAGTATTTTCAAATAAAAGTAAAACGTACTGAAAATCTAAAGATCAAATTATGATTAGAATGAAAATAGTATTTTGTACCCTCTATTATTAAATATGGCTCGATTTTCCTCTTGCGAATTTCCACAGAAAGATAATACGTGCGACACATTATCCCCATGGATATTACTGAATTAGATAAAGGTACGTCACGTGATCAGCCTGCCACCAATGCTAAGCGTTCCATTGTGTCACGTGATGGACCTAATATAGCAACAGCAGTGGAAATAATATGACGTCATTGTCATATTAAGCAAAAGTTATATCAACACATTTCCGCCAAAGTACCATATCGTATCACTTCTTCGTTTTACATTGTACATAAAACAATATAGAAATTTATCATTTAGATAAAGAAATGTATACGTATTTTTGTCTAATTAGTATGTCACATGGAAATTCACCAAAAAAATGGAAGAGTCTATTTCGTCTCTATATAATGGAAGAATCCATTAACGATAAGTAACATTATTCATTATATCTTCAATCTTTTATTATTATATTATTAAATGTAGCATTTCTTTTATCACATTCTTTAATTTTCTCTACATTAATTTTCTAAAAATTGAAAAATCTTTCTCTTTCACTGCACAATCTCTTTCCATTTCTTTTAATGTTAATAATTAACCAATACAAACTCACATAATCAAGCTAACAACGCTATTCTCTTTTTTTTCCTTAAACACCGTCCGAGGAAGCCATTATAGAAGAAGCTATTAACACGTAGCAAGAAGCAAATTGAGGTCTCGTTTTCAATAGAAGAACGATCGAAGAGGCGAACCGTTCCGTCGGAATTATCAGGCTTTGATCCTATCGTCCCGGCTGCTTCCTGGTTCCACATCATCCTCGAATGGCTCGCTTCCTCGTTTCTCCATGCCGCGTGAGCGGATCATCTCGTCGTTCTAATTAATCGGCACGCTCTTGCGTTGGAATGATATCGGTTAACGACACACCGAGCGTAACGAACCATTCAACCATTCGAAAGGAACGTGAACTCTGATTGCTTGTAAAACAAACACTGGTAATGACCATCGTTGAGCGATCGATTGATCCAGGAGAGATCGTGAGAAGTGCGTTCGAGTAGTTGGTACACATTGTAATTAATTAAAAGAAGGTTTATAAGTTTTTAGAATGGCACGGTAATTATTATTAGGATTAATTGAACGAGCTCGTCGAAAAAGTAATTTTTCTTCTTGGTATATATAACGCAATTAGAAAGAAGATTTTACGGTAGAACTTGGTGATTATTACCAAAATTAGTTGAACGAGTTTGTCGGAAAGTTAATTTTTCTTCTTAGTTTTCTTCTTGATATATATTGTAATTAGAAAGAAGATTTCTAAGTTCTTAAGGTAAGATATTAGAAAATAATGGATTTATTATTAAAATTATTAAATTATTTGTCGAGTAATCAATTTTTCTTCTTAATTTTCTTTTTAGTTGGTATTTCTAATATAATTAAAAAGAAGATTTGTAAGTTTTTAGAACAAATAATACAGTCGAAATTAGTGGAACTTGCTGATTATTATCAAAATTAGTTGAACGAGTTTGTCGAAAAGTTAATTTTTTTTCTGAATTTTCTTCTTGATACTGTACTGTAATTAGAAAGAAGATTTGTAAGTTCTTAAGGTAAGATGTTATAGTGGAATTATTATTAAAATTATTAAGTTACTTGTCGAGAAGTTAATTTTTCTTCTTAATTTTCTTCTTAGTTGGCATATAGTGTAATTAGAAAGAAGATTTGTAAATTTTTAAGACAGATAATACAGTGGAAATTAATGGAATTAATTGGTGATGACAATGGTAATTATTATTAAAATTAGTTGACTAAACTTGTCGAAAAGTTAATTTTTCTTCTTAGTTTTCTTCTTGATATATACTGTAATTAGAAAGAAAATTTGTAAGTTCTTAAAGCAAAATATTACAGTGAAATTATTATTAAAATTAAATTAAAAATTAAATTACCTGTTTAATTTTTTTAGTTAGTAATATAATTAAAAAGAAGATTTGTTTTTAAGATAGAAGATAGAAAAATGGAACTTGACAATTATTAAAATTAATCGAATGAACTCATCGAAAAATTAATTTATCGATCGGCCGAATTAAGTAAAAGAAGAATTTAGCCAATGTAAATACAGTTCTTTCAATATGTATTTTTATTATCAACGAATTTCGATAAGATGTTTTGTTAAGAATATTATTTTAATAATTTCTTAAGTTGCGAAACTAACAAGGAGAAAAGACTTTCAAACTTTTGAATCGTAATGTGTTCTATGAGAAAATTCATTATGGATAGAAGTTTGCCATTTGATCGATAGAGAGAGTTTTTTTTTTTTTTTAGAATTATAAAGATGAGAATCACGACTTTCTGATAGACCTTTGTAATAGCCCCGCATTATATCCTATTATGCCAACGATAATTACGAACTTATGATATTTATCGTTAACTCACGTCCATTAATTAATAAAATTAATGTAACTGTGAATTTTCAATTCTCTTTGCAATTTTCAAACGATCTTATACCAGTTTTATTTACCGCCTTCTATAATTTGAAACTAAATAATTAAAAATGACGGATTCAGAAAGGAAGAAAGATGAAGTTAGAAACAAATAGAAACTTCTTGCAATTTTTATAATTATCGTGAGTTAAAAAGTGGGTCAAACCTATTTATACACACAAATTATATATTTATCATATCAAGATTTCATTTCGTTCCTTTGCAATTAAAATGTGGAAAGTTATTCTTTAAATGTTAATATCCAACATTCCTTGTAAAGAAAATCATTATTAAAGAAGATTATATTACATGTATTGAGATTTAATTAATATCGTTATATTATTATAAGATGAAATTGCGCAGCGTACAAATAATTGTAGTAATTACACGAGCTAATTAATTTCTCGGAAAAGTGAAATATCGTTCAGTTTAGCTACCGTTTAATCGTGACACTGTTCTCTCAATAGAAGATACAACTGTTTAACTTCCTTTATGTAAGATATAATTATAAACGCAAGACGACGATATTGTGTCAAGAAAGATCTTTCGACACTCTTCTCTAAAAGCATGCATGCAATTTCGTTCTACAATTCGATGTCAAATTAAATTCGATGTTTATTAGTCTTTCATTTTATACGCATAAAACAAAGTAGAAATTCATTGTTAAACTTATGTAACAATCTCGTTAACGTTTCATTATCGATACTTTGCTGTGCTGTGAACAAAAGACATTAAAAAATAACTAGTGATGAAAAAGTAACTAGTTAAAAATTTTGAATAAAATTACTTTAAGTAATTACTTATTAAAATGCTTGAATAACATTTATTCGTATCTATTATAATCAGCTTTTCGTATAACCTCGACTGTTTGACATTATTAAATATTTATTTGCGATTATTATATTTTGAACATAAAATAACTTATCGAGGTAATTTCAACTATTAAATTTTGCCTATCACTGAGTGAAATAAATGGAGAATAAGTTTATTATGATCAGACGTATTAATACGTTTCCATTTTCATTATTTTGTTATTTATTTTTTTTTATTATCTTTGTTTACGCAATGAAGTGAACAAGTGTTACATCGATCGATGATTGGTTTTCGAAATTCATTTTAATTATTCGAGGGAAAGTGGATAAAGGACAAAAGACTTGTTTACATTAAAGAATATTCAATCGATTAACTAGGTTAAATTTTATCTAATCGAAATATAATTTACAAGAAAAATTTTTTATCAAATCTATCGACAATATACATATTTTTATTATGAACAATTATTTACAATAAAAATTCGAATTTTTATGAATCATCATGTATATAATCACAAATCACACATAAAAATTTGCCATATGATTATAACTACGAATTATTGGATTGATCAAAAATTAGTTTTTACATATTTTTATCTTCGAACATTATTATTTACAATATTATTCATCAGAAAAAAAATTCGAATACTTTTTCGATCGATAATAGACCGAGCAAAACGGAAATGGCCGTGAAAACTTGCCTTACGATCGTATAAGCCACGTACCAACTATCGGCGATAATAACGCACAATGGAAAGTGAGTAGTTGGAATTGCAAAGCAATAGAAGTACGATCATTTCCGTTGTGTCGTTTGTCAGATCGTGAATCGTCCATCCGCGATCTTGATTCGTGGCGAGGATATGGCCAAACCACATGGACACTTTTAGAATTGCAAAACCGCGATTGTCCGTTTCCATGAGGCCATGATATACTCGAGCCTCTTTCATAAAAACGGAACAATGAGATTCCCAGCGGATACCACCAGTTCTTTGTCCCTTCGTTTCCTTGACTCTTAAATCGTCGTTCTGCCTATTTTTATCGCTATTTTTTTCTTGATACGAGAGAAAAAGATAGAGAGAGAAAGAGAAAGTGAAACCAATCCACTCAATATGTTTTTAGTTCATAATATAATTTTTATTTTTGTATATATGCATATATTTTCTTTTTAATCTGAATATGTGTTTCGATTTATACGTTTTACGTCTAAAATGAAATCAAAGGAAACGTTTTGCATGTATTAAAACAATATTTTTTAATCTAACCTAATCTAACATAACCTAGTTTTTTTGATAGGCGATATGCCATAATTTTTAGGATGAATATTGTTATTTTAAAAATATGTGAAAATATTTATGATATTAGAAAAAGATTTTTGATCTTTGATTAAATTTTAAATAACATAGAAGTTGTTAAAAAATACATTCGATTTGGTGTAACGTGACATTTGGTGTAATGGTTACAAATAAAAATAAAACAAAAAAGTGATTTGCAAAAATATTCAGAATGTGATTGTAGAATCCAATATAAAATATTATTTTTAAAATATCTTTAATTAATTATTTTTAACAGAACGAGTTTAAGTTAATTTTTCTCTAACGAT